TACTTCAAAGTTATAATAACAACAATAATAATATTCTTTATAATAAAATTATTCATTTAAACATTGTTTTCAAGGAATATCATGTTTGTCCACGTTTTAACTGTCAAAAAATTAGATTAAAATTAGTTGTAAATTTTTATTTAAAAACATGAATTAAAATGTTAAAGTGTGATATAGATATACATAAGGTGCTTTATTTTTTTATTGTTATTAATTAATTAATTAATTAATTCAGAAGGGAGACTTCAATACTTTCATTAAAATGGTTTCAAGTTTGTTGTAATAAAGGATTTGTTCCCTCAAATAACTTGTTCTTGTTCTTTTAAGAGTCATTGTTACTGATAAGAATTATTGTTTAATATATACTGTGATAACTGTGAAACCGTGATATTTTCTGAGACGATTATCATACTGTGAAAATCTCATACCGTTACAACCCTAGTCTCTGCAGGAACAGATTTTCAAAGCACAAAAAGATTTACAACATTTATAACATCTCTACCCAGCACAGCCAGTGGGTTATCAGCATCTTCAAATATTTAGGTTCATTTACGAAGTAAAGTCATTTTCCATTGGAAAGATGTGTAGCCTGCAAACTCCACCCTAGTGCTTGCATTAATCTATAGCAACCAGTAATTTAGAGATTGCTAGCGTTTTTTTAAAATGTACTGATTTTTACTGAAGGTCATTATAATTAACATTTGCTATATAATCATAGAACTTTGCAGATAATTTATTAAAGAGCAGGTCATATGGTATTTTAAATTGTCCTAATATTGTGTTGGAGTCCCCCACAACAGGTTTAAATTCATCTAAGGTCAGAAAACATTGTAGTTTTCTTAGAATATACATTTAATATTAGAGTCATTTGCCAATGATTTCTAAACGGTTCGTTCCAAGCAAGTTTGGAGCAAACCCCTCCCTTCCATAAGCCTACTCTGCTCTGATTGGTCAGCTGGCCAAGCCTGTTGTGATTGGCACAGAGAGAAGTCCTTGAGCAAGTTAGCAAGCGTTACCATTGACAAAGCACCTTTACATAAAACAACAATATAGTGCTCCAATCCGTTCTTAAAATAATGACATAAAATATAAAAACACTTATGCAAGCGAATCGTGCCCACAGCTAAAGTTTAGCTGCTAAACTGTGAACACTTCAAACAGTAATGGTGGATACATTAGCCGAGTGCTAACGTGGCTAACTGATGAAACAATACCGTTTGTAAACCAAAATATGTCTACTGTAATGTTAGAAGAACGACAGACAAAAGATGCTCTGTCTTAACATTTAATCAGAACAGCTGTATCACAGGTGCAGCAGCCTAACTAACTCGCACGTCTCTCGTCTCTATTAACCCTGTAACTGCCGGTGCAGCAAAATAAACAGCAATTTGACAATGATTATAAAGTCCGTGTGCTACACTACATTTTTTATTATTAAACAAAGTAATTAGAACAACGTCAGTCTACATTAATCGACACATTCTTAGGAAATAGTGGGTTCACAGCGAATTATTAGAACTAACTTGATATTTTGAGCACTCAATTGAAAATGTACACATAACGTATCAATCGTACTTACAGGTTGTGGTTAGGAGAGCATGTTAGTCCAAAATTAAGAAGATTAGAAGCCAACGAAGATAAAAGCCAAGATTAGAAAAGCAGTCCTTGGTAAAAATGACATGCACACAACAAATTCGAATTGTATTTCTGCGGTATCCTTGAACACAGCGTCTTCTCAACATGATGTAAACACACTAACTAGCAGAAGTGTTTGTGGGCAGCTCAGACTCTGTTCGTATTTCACTGGAAGGTGGAGATTATGCAAATGTGTTACCCAGTGACGTATACCGGTAACAGGCAAAAGATTCGAAAATATGACGACTCGTTAAGGCGATTCAGAATCGACTCTCTCTTTTGAGAGACAATATCTTTATTTATCATGCACTTTTTTGATTAACAACTTGGCAGATTGTTTTAATTTAAGGAGAGCTATGTTATAAACTGCAAAAGAGATATTTTTCAAAAACCCATATGACCTGCTCTTTAAGTCATATAGCTTGTCAGTCTCTTTGTCTGGAAGGAGGCAATTGAAGTTCTCAGACATCTATCGTTGAAAACTTTGAGGTTAATGGGCAGGATGCAATGAAATGCTTAGTTTTATTTATTAATTCATCTTAAAATCAAGCATAACATGTTATTTTTAAAGAATATGATTTTTACTTATCAAAATAAAATGTTTGGTGTGTGTGTTTATATTCTTTTCAAAACTGACAAATGTATTTTTTTCCCTTTTTCCCCATTAGGTATCTTTTCTGATACTCACTTGCTTACAATGATGTACATTGGTGAGATGTGTTTCTGGGCAGTGAAATATGAGGACTGCAGCATGGACACCACAGAGCGCAAAGAGGACAGGCTTCATTTCCGAGATATTGGCACACAAATCCTCCATAAGTACGTGCTGGCATGCGAGGGGCCACTTCAGGGTCAGGGCTGGAACACAGAGAATGCCAAGGAGATCCTTAATATTTTACAGTAAACCTGGAGAGAGCTTTTAGGAGAGGAGATTCTCAAAAATGTCATTGTTCTGAAGCTAGCAAAAAAGAAAAAGAAAAGTAAAACAAACACACAAAAAAGATTTAAAAAGAAAAATACTGAAAACAAAAAAGGCACTTATCTTCCGGTCCAGATTTGTTTTCTGGGTGTGTGTTTTCGCCGAGAATGTGGAATAATACTTCTAATGTAAAATATAAACAAATAACTATTTGTTTAAGGAAAAAAAATTCCAGCTGAGAAACATCGCAACTTTTTATTTATTTTAATTTTTATTTATTTATTTTTAATTACATTACATTTATAAATGTAATTTATATATGTTATTAAAACAAATGGTACAAAGGAGAGGGAAATGCAGGTATATGTTGCATATTTAAGTATTTGTGACCATTTTTAAGTATGGATCTTTTCATTTTAATAACATCTTTGTATATGACACCTCTTCTGCTCACTTATTAAAAGTTGCATCTTTATTCCTTTCATTGACCAGATGTTTAGAGATGGGAATTTGGATATTTTGATAGTATACTTTTAAAAAGCTAAACGTTTTGGTCATATTCTTTTTCAAATGAAGTTCATTTTTTGTTTTTTATGTCTTCATTGAAATAAATTTTGGGTTAAGAAATGTGAACGTGTGAGTGATATTTTGGTTTCACATATTTGAAAGGTTGTTACATATTCAAAAGTTTGGAGATACAGGATGCTGGTTCAAAAAGGTATTTTATACTCCTATTGCTAACCTTTTAATGTATAGTAAAAACGAGCATCCTTAATGATTCAAAGTGAAACAATTAAAAACATTATGATTGTAGTATTCATTGGAATTATTTAAAAAAAAAAAATGAAATCAAACCATCTTGCCACCTTACATTTCTATCATTTTATGGGGTCAATGGCAACGCTACATAATGTTAGTGGCCTTTAACATCATTTTGTTGATGTTAAATCAACTTATGCTTATCCAAAGTAAACTTTCACACAAAAGATGACAAATTGGGTGGTTGTGAATAACATACTACTATTGTTTTCTGCAAAATTGTGACACTAAGTACAATCTATAGGTAACTGGGGCACTAGAAGAACAATATTTACATGCGTTAACTGCTTCACAGTATGTCCTTATGAAGGGCTAGGGGTGATACTTCACACAAATTAAGGAATAATATTCAATTTGTGTTTTAAATGGTAGATAATACATTTACAAATGTAAAAATATAGTTTGTAGAATTAAGTTGATAACGTGTTCTTTCATTTTATTTTTACGTGTCACTCCTAGTCCTCCATATGTCCTCCCAAAAGCTGAACATGATAGACCTTGCTTTATTCTATTGTCGTTTGGCAGTGCCGATTTCCAAAACTACAGTTCCCACAATGCAGTACCCTACTGTGCGTGACGATCCATACACGCCTATGAAAACACCAGAGACGTGTAACTTTGACAGTTCCGGGAAAATCCACTGGAATACTTCACAACTGAAATCGTGATTAACAGTTAACTGACATGTCATGTAATGAAATAAAAGCAAATCTATTAACGTTTTTGCTCTATTAAAAAAGTTACATATAGAAATCTTTCTAAGAAATAGTTGACAAATAGGTGTCAGTATGCTGAGCCGATCTATAGTCGTGCAAAGTCTCAGGAGTATTAGAGATAGGTTTTTTGATACAAGACGACAAAGCAATGAGAAAAGTGATGGTCAGGGGTCAAGTAATGAAGTCACGGGCCCCTCTCTGGATAACCTGACGGTAAGGCACGACTCTTCTTTATTTCATATTTATAAAATGTCATATTTATTTATTTACCTGACGTTTTATTAAAAGTACAGATTATGGCTATGTCGCGAGTGGAATACTAGCTGTACTAACAACTGCACAGTACACTGTATACTGTTTACTGAAAGGCGTTATATTAACAATATACATTAGGCTACTACATTTATATCATCTTGCTTATTTAATTTGAATGGGGTTCTCAATTTGTAGTTGTGTAATAATTTTTGTATTTTACCTCTTTTTTTTTTTGGTACTCTGTTCAAATAATTAAACGAGAAACAGAAATGTGAAAAATCACAACTGCTATTACTTCCAGTTCATTTATGACACAAATGCATTGAATTGTGGGATACAGTTTTGTAAACAGTAAGCCTTTTTGTTTACCACTCATTTTACTGTGCACTGTATACATACTACAGGTGCATCTCAATAAATTAGAATGTCATGGAAAAGTAATAATTGTAAGAGCAGTATGGTAGTATGCTCTGCCAAACATAGCCTGCATACAAATACAATATACTACATATGTAGACTAAACTGCAGCTGTATAGGTACTAATACCAAATCATATCTCTAAGTAATTATTGTGCTATTTACATTACTGCTTAAAATATTGGGATCAGGAAGTTTTTTTTTTAAATTGTAAAAATTTTACAACAAGGATGCACTACATTGATCAAAAGTGACAGCAAGGTTATTTATAATGTTACAAAAATATCTATTTCAAATAAATGCTGTTCTTTTGAACTTGCTATTCATCAAAGAATCCTAAAAAATGGACCACAAAACCAGTCATAAGAGTAAATTTTTTCATCATCATCTGAATCATTTTCATCATCATTTTCAAAACATAATCTGAAAGCTGAATAAATAAGCTTTGCATTGATGTATGGTTTGTTAGGATTTGACCGAAATACAACTATTTGAAAATCTGGAATCTGAGGGTGCAAAAAAATCATAATATTGAGAAAATCGCCTTTAAAGTTGTCCAAATGAAGTTCTTAGCAATGCATATTACTAATCAAAAATTAAGTTTTGATATATTTACAGTAGGAAATTTACAAAATATCTTCATGGAACATGATCTTTACATAATATCCTAATGATTTTTGGCATAAAAGAAAAATCGATAATTTTGATACATACAATGTATTTTTGGCTATTGCTACAAATATACCCCAGCGACTTAAGACTGGTTTTGTGCTCCAGGGTCACATATTAGAATGATTTGTGAAGCATCATGTGACACTGAAGACTGGAGTAATGGCTGCTGAAAATTCAGCTTTGCCATTACTGGAATAAATTACATTTTAAAATATACTAAAATAGTTATTTTAAACTGCAATAATATTTCACAATATTACTGTTTTTTTCTGTATTTTTTTATTAAAAGCCTATAAGCTCCTTTCAAAACATTAAAAATCTTACCAACCCCAAACTTTTGAACAGTAATCATTTTTAAAACAATTCTCCAAAACACATTATTTTGTCTTTCTTATCTAAACATACAGGTTGACATGCAGTTTCTCATTATGACCTTCCTGTCTCCGCAAGACCTCTGCAGACTGGGAGGCACCAGTACATACTGGCAGTCAATGGTTCGAGACCCTGTCCTGTGGAAGTACTTCCTGTTGCGTGATATGCCACTCTGGCAGTCAGTTGACCATTTATCAGTGCCTCAGGTCAAGCTCACTGGCTCAGCTGTGCTGGATGACTCTGAGATGCAGCTGGATTATATGGCAGAGTAAGAGCTTAACGCTGCAGCACATGGCACTTCAGTATCAGAAATAACCAGCTCTAGGTGCACCCTGTTTATGTTGCATTGGTAGATTTCCTAAGACTATCCAGTCTAAAAATAATATAATAAGAATTGTAATTTATTATTATTATTTATATTATACTTTATTTTCTAAAAAATAATACAAGTGGTTTATTTCTTGTATCTATGAAAGTTGTTGTCCTGTATTTAAAACCCCTTAATATTTAACTATAATATTCTCTTTAACATGGCACCCACAGGTATCTACGTGTTTGTCCGGCCTGTCGAAACCAATGGCAACACCAACCCAGAGCCTTCGAATCTGTGACTTCCTTCTTCCAGTCTCTTGTACCGGTTTCAGAGCCACAGTTTGCCATGTTCGGCCCCGGGCTTGAGCAGTTAGAGATTTCCCTCATGAATACAATCATGCATTCCCCTCATGTACTGCCTGTAGCAGGACTACCTCAGCGTCAGATTGATGGTGCTGTGCCATTACTTATAGTTATTAAACTGAATACATGGATGTTGTGCTGTGGTTGCTTTTTCTGTACTTGACCTTGATGGGATTTTTTTTTTCTTCAGGCATTGGATCTGGAATCAGTTTTAAGTACAAAGATCAGCACAGATTCAATATTGCAACTTTATATTCAACTAACAGGTGAGGAAGAGGATATTATATCATAATTTAAATGTGTTATACATGTTCTACTGTTTAAATGTTTGGGGTTGGATTTTTTTGTAGATTCATGTTTTTGAAAGAAGTGTTTTATGGAAGCCCGTTTCTGCCAATGGATTAAAAAATAAGTAGATAATTGTCACTTTTTGTCTCACAGTTATGAGAAAAAAGTGAGAATTGCAAGATATTAACTCAGAATTCTGACTTTCTTCACACAGTTCCAAGTTTACATCTCACAATTACATTTTTTTTTTTTTATACAATTCAAATTGCAACTTTTTATCTGACAATTATGACTTTCTCTGGCAGTTCTGAGTTTATATCAGGCAATTCTTAATTTGTATCTCCCAATTGTGAGTTAATATCTCGCAATTTCATCTTTATATTTAAAACTGACTTTAAAATAAAGTCATGTTTGGATGATAGGACTAGGTGTTATGATCCCAATATTCAGCACCAGAGAGAAATAGATTTGGTGAGAAAAAAGTCTGAATTGTGAGATAAAAAGTCACAATTACCTTTTTTTATCCTGTGATGGAAACAAGCTTCTATTGTCTCTTATGCTCAATAAAGCTGCATTTAATTGAAAATACAAGAAAACAGTAATGTTGTGAACTATTATTATAGTTGAAAAGAACTATTGTCTCTCGTCTTTAAATTCTGTGATGGAAAACTGATTAAAATTAAAATAAAGGTTTAAAAATAAAAAATGTTAATTGCCACATTCAAATAACGATTTTAAAATGCAGGATAAGTGTCACTAATTAAACAAGTATATGTTCAGCTTATTGTAAGCCTCTTACATGTATGCTTCTCATAACAATTAGCGGATATGCATATAAACAGCCTTTTAATTAACAGAGTAGAATAATCATGGCCGATAGTAATACATGCAAACGTAAAAAACTAAAAAAACAACCTGGATGCAAAACAGCTGTTACTTCTTGCCCAACTGGTTAATGAAAACAAGGATATAATCAAAGGAAAATTAGGAGTTTGGTTAACCTCCAAAACCAAAGGTGATACCTTTTTAAAAGGTCATTATCATCAAATGTTTCTAAAATGTTTACGTTCCGAGGCAGATTGCCGGCAACAGCCATTTTAGGAATAGTTTGTGGCTTGGTCTTATAGCGGACTTAGGAGTCCTCTTCACTACTCCTAACGTTTCACAGATTTAGGAGCTAGTTTTAGAGCTAAAACACTTTGTGAAATACTCTTAGAGCAAAAATTTAGGAGTCCTAAATTTAGAATTGACGCGCCCATTATTTTTAAGATTTTCTCCTAAATCGGTGAGTTATGATCTACTTTTATCCTTAAGATGTTTTGTGAATACAGGCCCTGATGTGTAAATATGTCACATAATACAGTTTGAATGTATGAATGGGAGTCTGTGTCTCTGGGTTTAGGACAGAGCGAGAGAGAGCACGTCTGGAGCACCTCAATCTGCGCAGCAAACTCTTTGTCTATGAGGAGGATAGTGAGTCCAACATACCCTTAAGCATTAACTCCATGTTTAATCAAGTTTCTCAAGCTGTGAATGGATTCGTCTTTGTGGCCAATGCTGAGACAGAAAGAGGTATGGCTGTCCTTTTTGAGCACACTTTAAAGGCTTATGCCTATATGCTTGAAAATTGTTTTGTACACCAATAGAAATTGTGCCTAAGTATGAATTTCTTTAGTTTGCTGAAACATTGTAAGAAGATCCCCATAATGATTTTGCAGTTTATACTGTCTATCTCTCTTTTATATATTGGAGGAACAGACAGAGGGTGGGAGGAGGAATGTGCCCAGATCAGGGTAATGTTAGACCCTGCGGTGGGTGCTGTGTGCCGCCCTATCCTGGTGCTCTCCTGTGTGTCTAGAGAGACAGCAGACAGACGCAGGATACCTTGTGTGACCATTGCCCATCAGCTTCAGCTCAGCTCACTGCCCAACCCTTGGATGGTAAGACATCAAACAGCATCTGCAAACATAATCAAAGAATTTCTGACTGTACAGTGTACAAGAAATTAATATACTGAATATGCAATAAAGCTTCAGTATATGTTTTGACATACTATAGGTTCAGGATATGGCTGCTGAAACACTGACGGGACTGCTGGATGGTATTGATTGGCTGCTGAGGCACTCTGGAGTCAAGCTATAACCAATAAGACTGTAATGAAGCTACTGGATGCATCAAGTCACACCATTATAGGTGGTTGTGCTCATTTTACATTGCCCTTTTCAACAGTTGACCTGTTATTGTTTTGTCTAAATGTTGTCCTTTAATTGACCTTTTGAATTTTTTTTTAAAGTGGAATAGCATTTTTCATATATATATATTTTTTAATCAAGGGAATTATATTTATGTAGCTCTAAAGGCAATATCACACAAGCAAGAGTCCTTTTGTACTGAACATCAACATGTCTGAGATTTGACTGTAGGCAGGTGATATTAAGAATCAGAATAACATTATGTTATGATTGTGATACAGTTCAGTTCAATAAAGAAAAAGTTAATATTAAGCAACTTACATTTTAGACACAATTTTGCCTTATATTCCTATAATCCAAAGCAGAGCCAACCATCTCCAAACAAGCTTAAGCGAATCAGGGTTTTTAAATGAATTGGTTGTGTGAATGATTCATTGACTCGCATGTTGTAATCCCAGTGCTGTTGGACTAAATATGAAGATATGAAACTATCTTAGATTAGTAATGCATTTCAAATATATAACCTCAGAATAATGATAGTTCACTTACTTTAACCCTGTGCTGTGCTGAAAAGGCTTTACCTAATTTGGTGTTCCCATATTTCAATATTTTGGTTTCAATATTTGGTAATAATATAGCATAACAAGAACTTTGTAGGAAATCCTTTGTAGGCTGGTCATTTTTGACCGGAACACCACAGGTGTAAAACAAGGTTTCTAAAAAAAGATGTAGTTCAAGTTCAAGTTCAAGTTCAAGTCTGCTTTATTGTCAATTCTTCCACACAATGTGTATTTATTAAATTAGTATTTTTGGGAAAAGGAAATCATACCTGGCTCACAACATTAACTGTCATATATTGTTCTTAATTATTCAGTATGGATCATTCTTCCAGGACTTCGAACTCCTGAAGGGTGTTTTTTCTCTTTTGTCCACAAAGAGGCAGCATCCTCAGCTTTATTAAGATGATTTGTTGCCAACAATATAACCTTTTTATTGACCTTGTATAACCTGCTCCCCAGTTTTATTCAGGGTGGAGGTCATCCAGTGGCCAGTGTTCAAGAAATATTTAGCTATTGCTTTGTCTCTGTCTTCTCTTTGTCGGCGACTCCCTGCGGCCCTGTTCTCTTCCTCTGTTTAATTCAAAGTGAAAGCCAGCGAATGCTTGCGGCATTTCACAGAGGTAATATGCTAAACTGAGTACTTAAGATTAATGTTAAAGTTCAGCCTTACTAAAGGCCACACTGCCACTGAGCAAGTTTAAACTGTCAAACCGAGTCATGAAAATAGTCTTGAAATAGTGAAAAATGGGACTCAATAGGAGGATAAAGGTTGCCTTGAAGTGCCTTTAAGAAATGAGACGGGAATCATTGTCTTTTTTTCTCTTTCCGACATATTTTCAAGGTTGAGTGCTTGATAAATTAGACAGGTGGGTTTTTATATGGCAAGTGACTCATTTCTGAGCATTAAGTACATGTACTAATAACTTTTTCTTTTTTTTTAATCCATTCTGGGTGGAAGTAGATGTAATAAAATGTTTAGTCCTTTTGTATTTCCCTAGAAGAAGAACAGAATTGTTTTTTTCTTGCAATCTCTTTTCTTACTCATAAAATGATTATGTATAGCAATAATGATTGCCTTGGGGAAAAAAAGGAATGTTTTAAAATGAAAATGTAATTCCTGCAATTTGGATACATTAAGTCTAACCTAAATGATAGAGATGGCTGTCTGCTCTGTAATGAAATTTGACATAATGGAGAAAGTGTTGACCTTTCCGTATTAAAATGTTCTCTTTCACCTCCCCAGAAGCTCTTGCAAACAGTTTTCTTCCACGCTTGTCTCACTAACTCACTCATGCCATGATTTCATGAAGCGAGACAGACCATGTTTCGTCTGCACCCATAAAAAAGACAGGCCTGAAATCTTTTTAGAATAAATTGCTTGCTGATTTCCATGGATTATTTTAAAATTGCACGCATCAAAATGGCTTCATTGCCTAGTTTAATTGTAATTAAATAAATTTAGTTCTATTATTATTATTTTTTTTTCTATTTTCTTTGTTCAATCAAGATATAACAACCAGATAGATAGATAGATAGATGATTAGACAGACAGACAGATAGATAGACAGATAGATAGATAGATGGATAGATAGATAGATAGATAGATAGATAGATAGATAGATAGATAGATAGATAGATAGATAGATAGATAGATAATTAGACAGACAGACAGACAGAAGTATGGACAGACATATAGATAGATAGATAGATAGATAGATAGATAGATAGATAGATAGATAGATAGATAGATAGATAGACCATTTTGAATCCACATTGAATAACCCCCTGGG